CCTTAGCTGCTCCGAGGCAGGAGGAGCACGGAATCCATTCAGTCTTGGGGGAGGGCAGCCTGCCTCAGAGGGGAGGGGCCGGCTGAGGGCCAGGGTCCTCATGACAAGAAGACCCTCCCACTGCCCATTGTCGCAGGCCGCTGGCCCCAGTCAGAGGCCCATGGGATACCATCAGCATTCAGGTCCTTCAAAGTGGCAGCTTGGGGAGGGGGGCTGGCCAATTACCCCCTCCTCTCTCACCCTCCCTTTCTCCCTCCGCCTCCCCCTTCCTTACACACAGACGCTCTGCTCTCCTGTGAGCCTCCTCTACAATAGCTCATACGGGCTGTGGGTTTGTGGGGGGAGTGGTGGGGTGGGGGGTGCCCATCTACTGCAGTCAGCCGCCCTCCTTGCCTCTCTGAGGCTCCTCACATCCCTCTCGGCCTGGGGAAGCTGCTGGCAGCATTTTCTGTTACTGAGTTTTCTCTAACTGAGTGCATGTCCCCGCCTGACCCTCTGGCATCCCTGGAAACAGGACAGAAGGGCCCAGCATGGAGCTACCACAAGTGTCCCATGCCAACACCTGCTCAGCCTCTGTACTTTCTCTGGTCCCCGGCAGGTCAGCCACTGAGCGTGGACTCTGTCTCACAGAGGGGGGTCCAGGAGGGCAGCTGGGCCTGGAAACAGCTCCCCCCAAGCCCGCAGCCTCCACTTAGGCTCCGCGCTGTCCCTCCCGTAGCCCACAGGCCCCTAGCCCTCTGGCTCCCAGCTCTCCCAGCCCGGCCTTTTCAGCAGGGCTGGCTCTGAGCCTGGATGCTCAGCTGCAGTTGGCTCCTTCTCTCCTCCCCAGCAAGCCCACCCCTGGCTCCTGGACCTAAAGCAGCCCCACTCCCGCTGCTCTCACCTCCCTTGTTTATCATATTCTAAAACTAGAGCGCTTGTCTGTGTACTTCTTGTGAACTTTTGTGAGCATAAGGACCTGGTTTGTTTGGATCACCGCCATATTCCAAGCTCCTAGGAGAGTGTCTGGCACATAGTAGGCGCTCAGTAAATATTTGTTAGTGAATGTATCGCTTCTGATAACCCCTCCGAAGGGTTAGCGGGACAGTGAGGGGTTCTTCTACCTTTGCCTAGGGGTCTGGCATCATGGAAACCAGTTCTGGGCATCTTATCCCACACTGGTTCCTGACCTCTCTCTTCCTCTGCTGGGAATCCATCTCCCTTCCAAGAGCATCCTCTCAGGGTCTGCTCAGGTCAGGTTTACGACTTCCCCCACCAGGATGTGCTACGTGTACACACTGGAATCCGTGCACTTCCTGGGCACAAACAGGTGTGTGCACAGCCTCCTCAGGCCCATATCCAGGCACACACATCTCCAGGTGGTCCCTCTGCACCCCTAGATCATGGCCTCTGGCCCAGGTGTCCTCTTAGACTGTTCTGTGTTCCCTCCTGCTGCAGCCCAGAGAGCCGATGTCGGTGGCGAGGCAGCGGGCACCTCCATCAACCACTCCCAGATGCTGCTCCAGCGCCTGCAGGAGCTGCTGCGGCAGGGCAATGCCAGCGACGTGGTTCTGCGGGTGCAGGCTGCGGGCACCGATGAGGTCCGAGTCTTCCACGCCCACCGCCTGCTGCTGGGACTGCACAGTGAGCTGTTCCGGGAGCTGCTGAGTAACCAGAGCGAGGTGGTGCTGCAGGAGCCCAGGGATTGTGCCGCTGTCTTTGACAAATTCATCAGGTGGGGAGGGGAAGGGTTGCGGGGGGACTTCATCCCTTCCCAAGCTCCAGGCTCCTCCACTCACAGACTCACGGAAGCCCTGGCCCCTTAGAGGTCATCATGTCCACCTCCTGGATGTCACTAGGGTGAGGATACCACTACCTCCTCCATCCCTGCCCCTGCCTATGGCTCAGCGGTTTGATGTCAGTTACCAAATGCCCTCAGAGCTGTTTCCAAATCTGGCCAGGGGAGCTTTTTTTTAAAAAAAAAAAAAAAAAATCCTGGGCTCCACCCTGGATTGCTGGCTTCAGGTCTGGGGTTCAGCAGTCATTTTTTAATTTTTAAAGCCTCCATATGGCTTGTTGTCTAGCCAGGTTTGAAACCACAGGGCGAGGGAGCTGAAAAAGTTAGCCAGCTCTCTCCCCCTCCTGCCTCCTGCCAGTGCACAGCACAAGGGGTGCCATTCACACTGTAGTCTGAGAAAGTAACCCTGCATTAATGGCTTAGACAAGACGGTTGCCAGGATTCCAGCCATCACGCCCAAGTTCTAGGCAACAGGACGAGGGACAACACAGGACAAAAAGGGTCTTCCCGCACCCCAGGTGGTTCTACTTAACCAGCCTTCCCCTCAATCCCATACTGCACCTCTGCTGACGTCTCACCGGCTGGAATTTAGTCATATGGCCATAGTCACTAAGAGGAAGCCTGGGAAACACGTTTTATTCCCCGTGGCAAACATGCGGAGCTGCAATGCTGGTTGAGGGGCTGGTATCTGGATGTCGCTGCCACACCCCCATTGAGTGTGTGCCAGTGGGGACTGGCAGGAAGGGCAAGCAGAGGGTCAGCAGCAGATGGAGACAGAGAAAGCGAGCAAGAGTGATAACAGATGAGAGGCGAAAGACACGGTGAGAAAGCCAAGACTGCAAGGAAAAAGGGGGGAGGGGAGAATGGGAATTAGCCTGTGTGACCACCTACTTTGTAGCAAGTATCACTCACTCTCCAACTGTCACCATAACCCTGAGGGGCGGGTGTGATTCCCCTTCCTAGGAGTTTAACATAAGGTTGAGTGAGGAGTCAAGCTCAATGGCTTGTCCATTCATAGAAAGTAGGCGACAGGACTTGACTGTGAACCCACAACCGTAGGAGCCACGTCTGTCTTGTTCTAGCATAGAGCTCGACAGCTAGTAGATGCTCAATAAATACGTGCTATTTCTATTTCTCCACGAGAAATGGGAAGAGGAGGCTGGGAAGCAGAAAGGGCGTGAGAGGAAAAGACAGGAAGCCTCGGGACCTCCCGCTCTGTTCGTGCCCCTGATCACAAAGCTCCCCACCTAAGGCCAGGTCCCCCCTGGACTCAGAAAGCGCAGCAGGCCGGGCGGGTGGGCAGAGGTGGTCCGCTCCGCCCCCGCCCCCATCGGCACCTCTTTCGCAGGTACCTCTACTGCGGCGAGCTGACGGTGCTGCTGGCCCAGGCCATCCCGCTGCACAGGCTGGCCACCAGGTACGGCGTGGCCTCGCTGCAGCGGGGCGTGGCCGACTACATGCGCGCGCACCTGGCGGGGGGCGCGGGCCCGGCGGTGGGCTGGTACCTCTACGCGGAGAGCACGGGCGACGAGGCGCTGCGCCAGAGCTGCCTGCAGTTCCTGGCCTGGAACCTGTCGGCGGTGGCGGGGAGCGCCGAGTGGGGCGCCGTGAGCCCCGAGCTGCTGGCGCAGCTCCTGCCGCGCTCGGACCTGGTGCTGCAGGACGAGCTGGAGCTGTTCCACGCCCT